TTATGTAACGTGTCCTACTGCCGGTGTTTATATACGTTAATATATGTATTTAACATATGTATGCGTATTTACTTTTCTGACGACGGATCATATTACACGTCAGCTGATGATGACAGAACGAGTTAGAACTTAGCTGTAACTTCAAGTTCACACCATCGAAGTATTGTGTCGAATAACGGCTTCCAAAACACCTTTATTTTCAATATTTTTTTTTAGTTTTTAATGTTAACTTATTCATAAACTAGCTTTCGCCTAAGACTCTGTCCACGGGGAAATAAAAAAAAGTTTTACATCTACATTTGCCCAATTTTAGTGAGATCTGTTAAGTCGTTCCATCCATCTATCTAGACCTTCGTATTTATAATATTAGTAACTTACATGTCATCTCAGGATGATTTTTAAAAATAAAACTAATGGAACTCTGTTTCCCTTTACTACTTTACGTAAAGGCAACTTTTACAGCATCTTATTGTTCTAGATTACGCCTGTTTCTCTCTATTTCCTGTTCTAACAAACTTCTATTCACCTCATCTCGTCATCAACCTCATCATCATTCTTATATCCCTCTCATAAACAAAAAGATGATCTGTAAATCCATTAAGTGCTGACGTACGCATAGTCATTATTTATAATTTACATTGTAAGTGAATAATTAGGGGCTAATAATCCCATCCGTTATAGTAAATTCATCTTTAAATAATTTATCACGTTGATGGGCTTTGAACATTTTGATCCGTACACAAAAGTGAATGTTTGATCACAGGCTAATAAACTTGAAATATTAATTAATTAACCTTACTGATTTATGAACAGCTTTTATATTAATAGTCTAACTTCTATTTGCGGTAAATAATTTCGGTTAAAATGCTCCCAACAGACCTATTTTATTACAAATTGGAATCATAAATATAAATAAAGGCGTTGAAACTATTTAAGCGGGTAAAGGTCAATTGTAACAAGAATTGCCAGTTCATTTATTTATTACTAGCTGTCTCACGCGACTCTGTTCATTAAACAAAACATAAAAAGTAGCCTATGTGCACCTCTAAACTATGTTCTACATTTATGCCAAATTTAATCGGGATCCATTGAGCCGTTCTGGAGATATCTTCTGATAAACATTCATCCATCCATACCACTATCTAAACATTCGCATTTATAATATTAGTAAGATTTCGCTTTAATCTGTAGCAAAAAGACGAGTGTTTGAGGATCGCGTGCATTTTTTTCTTATATTACAAAAACACCTATACTATTCACGGTATAGTTAGGTTAAAAATGGCTTTGTGCGAAAAACATTCATATATGCCCACACCCCGGTAAATAGTGAGTCGAGAGATAGAGAGTTTAGGTAGGAGTTTAGTAGTAGGATCCATGTGTCTTTCCTTCTAGAGCAAGGGATGTGGAGGGAGTCCCACATGTGTGTAGGACACCGGAGTGTTGTTCCCCGAGGCTCGCATTCCTCCTCTTAAAAAAAAGGTTAAAAATGGCTCAGTCGAATCTATCATAATATAATTACCAGTTAACATTTATCTTGTTATTTTAAAATTACTAATGTTTAAAACAAAGATACTTTGTTAATTACTTGTGTGTTAAACTTAAAAGGCTATTCATATGATTACAAAATTTTAATTACCATGTACACAAAGCAATAGACATCGATTGTTTTGTTAATAGGAAATGCAATATTAGAAGGGAGGAGTTAAGTGGGACAAAGTACGGCCCTGACACAAACAAGATAATGCAGTATTAGACGTTAGGTTAAACCCGAGATAGCGCGTAATCGCAAGCCATGAATTATTATAGATTTAATTATAAAAGAGTAAAACTTTTTAAGTCACAGATATTAAAATGTGGGTCAGAGGGTTCCGGTGCGTTCCTTTGGAGATCCCGGGACCCTCGCAGTCGCACTTGAGGTTGGCCACCGAGGGGGTTTTAGTGAGTAAGAATCTCACATAACCCTGTCTTACCCCTAAAAGGCAGGGTATCTTACGAAGATTTCCCCCCGATACAAAAAAGATATTAAAATGTAGTTGATACTTCATTTAAAGAGAGGTTGTACTCGATTTTTTAGTCTTAATAATTTTAACATAATTTTACACACTTGCAACTCAATTGCTTTTTGCAAACAGTTTGACTAAGAAATCTATAATCTAACTTCTTACTAATATTATAAATGCGAATGTTTAGATAGATGGATGGATAGATGTTTGTATAGAGGTATCTCTGGAACGGCACAACGGATCTTAATTAAATTTGGCACTGATACATAGTCTGGAATGACACATAAGCTACGTAATATTTTTTTTTAATTCCGTGCGGACGGAATCGCGGTAGACAGCTAGTAGTTTTATATATTGAAATACTGTGATCACATTTTAAGCTACATAGACTGATATTGTTCAATGATTATATTACAGTGTTTTAACATACAAAATAATTAAGGCACTGACCTCTCATTTGATTATTATTAACTTTTGACGTCGTAATGAAGATGAAAGTTTGTTCTCACCTTGATGTATGAGGTCAGATATATATAGTTATATTGTAATTATTTTATTCACCTTGTATTATTTATCTGCATGTTAAACAGTAATGAATTTCTAATTTTATAATTTATTGACTTACAATATAAGGTTTTAAAACTTTAACAACAATTTAAGTTAGTTCAGACATTTTAAATGCAATCACAATTAGAACGAAAATGGTTTTATAATGTTTTTAAAATAATTTTCTCGTAATCAATTTTGTATTTTAATGGTTAATTTAATTTTGTATTATAATTTAATCTTACGTCTTGTAAATAAATACATACATCGATTATGAATGGGAAAGTTTAGCTGGATGGATATTTGTTTGAAGGTATCTCTGGGAAGGCTCAACGGATTTTGATGAAATTTGATACAATTGTAGATTATAGTCTGGAAGAACAGATAGGCTACTTATTAAGTTTTTTTTTAATTCCGTACAGACGGAGCCGCGGGCGACAGCTAGTAAAGTTATATTTAAAGATCGACAATCCTATTACAGATTGCGACTGTCAGGGAATGTAATAGTTTTCCTTATTGTTAAAACAAAATCGATCCGATTCCAATGCAAGTAGCAAATGCACTTGTGTAGGAAAAACGTTCCATTCCTTCTATCCGAGGAACATTTACGTTGATCAAACTGCGCTCTTCCGAGACATTGCGCGGCTTTTACTACTACTGAGAGACGAAGATAGAAGTTCTATTTGCTTTTTATTACAATGATAGTGAACTTGTATGAAAGGTCTTAAATCAACCAGAGTTTTTTGTCACAATACCTACCCACAATACTATATTAAACTCTTTGTTCATTGTTTTGTTTGTTAAAGAATAATTGTCTTTATATAATATATAGATTAAGAAGGTACCATTGATATTGTTTATGTGACACGGAAGAGCAGGACTTCCAATCACAAGCCCGTTATGGATGCTTAAATGGAAGTCCCGGCACAAATGTTAGTATGTACCATTTTTGTTTAAGCAATAAATCATTTTTCATTTTCATTTTCAATACCATAAGTATTCATTAGCCGAATTGTATTGATAAATCGCTTGGAGTTATACTTTTAAGCGAATGATTTAGTAATATGCGAAATTTCCATGTACTCCTTTTACTTCTCATTGCATCAAACATCAGAACAGACAACAGAATTTGCGAGATAACAATACTCCTGTTTATGCAAGCTGAAATATAATAAAGAAACACACAAACCTTGTTATACTTTTAAGAATCTTCATAAAGTCATTTAAAGGAAGAAAAATAAATGCATTTCTTCTAAGAGTAACCGCGCTTACTTTAATAGGAACAATGCCAGTGCAATTTCAATGCTTGAAAACTTAATAGTTTCTTTTTAATTTAACAATAAACATGTTGAAAAGATGCCAGAATATACTGCGAGTTAAATAAAGAAAAAGTTTAATTGTTACGCGATTGCAGCTACAATTTATGAGTTCAGCAAAATAGAATATTTTAATTTAAAATAAACTAAATATTTTGATTAAAATGTTGTACTAATCTTTTAATCTTTAATAACTCTTCAAAACTTCTTCTCTTTTAACAGTGGTAGAGCCCGTTTTAACATCTTCGCATGAATTGGCCCGCCTCGCCTGGTGATATACCACGACCACACAGAAGACAGGCGTGAAGTGGAAGCAATTTCGCGTTGCGTCTGATGAGTGTGCGTCCCGGTGGCCTAATTTAGTCTCCTTTTCCTTCCCACCCTTTTTCTTATAAGGAAAGGATGTGAAGTGGAAGTGGACTTTCCGGATGAGAGGATGCATTGAAAGGGAAGATATTTTCTTTCTGTGCATCCTCTCCTCCGTCGATAAAAGGTAGGCAACGCATATGCAATTGCGTATGTCTATGGGCAACGGTTATTTCGCTATTTCAGCGGTTTCATGTGGCCGCTCGCTCGTTTGCCACCTCTTTATATATAAAAAAATTTAACAATATAAAATATATAGCATGAAGTATTTAATATTATTTTCCTACTATAACACTAAAAAAATAGTGAATAAAGTTCCTTTCACATAGTCCCGGTTTACTTCAATCGACGCCCGATCAATTGGTCTCACGATCGAACCTATAAATGTCGAATACGAGTTGAAAAGCCAGCGACGTGATAAAAGGACCCAAAAGCTTTATGCTCGATGGATTCCTTACATGTTGTAAAACGAATATAGCTAACCATTTTTTTTTATTTGAAAATAGGTGAATTTCTTACTTTAGTTTTTTATTTGAATTGTGTTAAAAAAAATATTAATTCCATTGCCATAAAATTTCTCCGGGAGACTGAAATTTTATTTACTAAAGTTCTTAAAATATTATAGGGAATAATGTAGAGATATTTAAATTGTAACACACATTTTCACAGACATGTACATTAATATAAGAAAGTAGGGTTTTAAAGCTTTGTTCAAATATAAAAATTGATTTAAATAATTTATTTTAATTATCTTTTTTCTATATTGCAGTTTTCGACGCATCTGGTCAGTATAGCCCCAACATTCTGTTCGGTAACGAATACTGGCTGGGCTCACAGAACGCTTGCGCCGACCTACAGCTGCGCCAGTACTACGCGCAAACGCCGCCATTCAAAACTACCTTCTTTGTCGCCAAGATCAATCTCACTGTTGACGCTGATCATGTTCCCCAAGTAAGACACTGCTTGATTCTTATTTCAACATATACGTCGTAAAACAATAACGTGCAATAGACGTAGAACCCCAATCGAATAATTTAATGGTACATATGTACAGTCAGCTAGATAAATATTTATACATTAAAACAGCTTCAGAAACTAGTGTAGAGCTTTTATTTTAAAAATCGGAATCGGAAAAGTCGGAAGCATGCAAAGACGGAGAAGTGAATGTATTTTTTGAAACCGAAAGAGTATATAAGTTTCTAAAGCTTTGTAAATGTATACATATTTATGCAGCTGACTGTGCATAAATAACGGTTAAATTGTAAAGGGTTGCAATTCTTTCATGTGATCAGTCAGTAATGTAAAAAAACCGTTGTATAAGTGGAAATTTGTTAGTGATTTATTCTTGCGTATAGTGATCGTCCCTGCATCGTACGCTTCATAGTCCGTACCGATATCAGCTTTATTGGAATGACAGCTTTCTACACTTGTAAGCTTTCAATAAAGAGCTTTTGTTATGACATCAAACACAGCGATAGCGAGCGTTTGGAACAAAGCGATATCGACATATTTATGAACAGTCCAGTTTCAAAATATGTTTTAATATATGCGGATATGAAAATAAAAAAATTGGATTTACTAGAGCGTAAAAAATATTAAAAAATTAGAATTAAATATTTCTATCCCAGGTCGTAGCGTTTGTTTTTAGAAATGTGTAATAAAGAGTTGAACTTGGTCATAAATCGGGCTCTAACTTTTAAAACGGGCGGAATCTAGGTGAGTCGAAGCTCACTGGAGAGGGAAATAAATTTTCTAAATATTGAAAAATTGAAAAAGTTTGAATTGAATTTAAGTTTAGATTTTATTTATTTATTACCAATATCTCTATTATTATTGGTATAAGAGAACTAATAATTTGTTTATGCAAATTACAGTCCTAAAATTTGAATTTATTATTCTTGGTTCGACTAAAAAAATTATGTGCACCTTTTTTAATTTTTATCCCTATTCGTAACTTAATTGCATTGCAGTTTTCTCGTCATCTTTTTCCTCCATTATAAGTTTGCTGCCATAAATTCCTGTGTACCCAGTTTAATTCACTATTTTATTATTGTTTTCAGAGTAGACTGATGTTAGTGGGTCAATGCATGCCGGCGTCCTGCAACAGCAGTAATATTGAAGCGGTGTTAGCACCCGCAGAGACCACGGCTATAAAGAGAGCCCAGGATAATGGAATTACGGCCTCCTTCAGGACTCTGTATGTGCGGCCCGTGCCTGGACCGTATAATATATTTGCTGATCTCAAGCTGCAAATCCTAGGGTACTTATAGACTTGATATTAAGTTTTTTTGTATCTAAATTATACATTTGATTACAAAGACATGTTAATTTTTGGAGATCACAACAAAAAGTGAACGAAACGTTTCATCTTGAGGTACAAAGGACAAGTCCTTTTGTTTGTATTGTATTGTCTTGATGGATGAAAAATGTTGAAATTCTTTGATTTATTTCCAAGAGCTATACAATATATTATATTTGGAAATTCGTTTTTCTAACGGATCGCTTTTGTCTAACCATGCTTCTTTGATGTTATCTCTGTTTCTTTGTACATTTGATATAATTATTTTTATTAATTTATCTTATGTTTTAGATCTGTTATGATTGTGGTGGCGATGTGGATGTTGGTGGCGTCCTTCTACGAAGGCTACTTGGAGCGGAAGTATAGAAAGGCCGCGGAGTTACGTGACCTTGAAGCTCGTCAGAACAACAACTATAAACCTTCTGTTGGTACTTTCGTTTATGTGCCCATTTAAACATTCATTTTTTTCTCTTTCTTACTGTTGGTTTCTGAGACCAAAATAACTGTCTAAAATATGTCGTCATCTCGATCATTATCTTTGATGATCAGTGATAACAATATGTTTTAAACGAGGATTTTAGTTTCAGAAACTCATGGTTTTATCTTAATATTAAATATTATTGGTGTCTTAAGTTTTCGTCTAATTTCCATAATAACAATAAAAGCTTTAATGCAGAAAAAATTTAAAAAGTTTTTAAGGTTTATTCTTCTTTGTTTAATTAAAAATCACTCGGGGAAAATGGCAAATTTTTATTTATCCTATGGTAGTAATAATTTAATAGAATCCTAGTTTTTGCAGCCAGTAACAAATTTGTCAGAAGACGAAGAAAAAATAGAAGATGATGAAAATAAAGAATTACGTCGTGATAGATGTGGTGAGTTGATACCTAAACGATGTTATTCTGATAGTTTAATTACTTTAGATTGTTTTTGATGGATCGAATAACGTTTAATGTTCCGTTCCAGGAGTTTGGGCTGAATTATTGTTATCATTTTCAATACTATCGAACGGCAGAGCAATTCTGAGCACTCAAAAGCCTAATGATGGTGCTCTTACCTGCTTACATGGAATGAGGTATGTATTTATATCCTCTGGACCTCATATCTTAGGGTCGTGAATACTTTCATCTTTTTTGATTATAATGGCTTATAATTTAGTTCTCTCTTCAACTTATCTGAAATTATGTATGTAGCTCGTCGAGTGTGGTAAGGATCTGGCAAGATCAATGTATTTGACTGTAGTCCCGCGACATTTCTTTCTACTGTAATATGACTTACAATCTAGATAAAACTACCAAACCTTTTTATATTAACCTCTACATTTTACCCAAGATCTACGGTCGTTTACATATCAATGAAATTTCTATTAAAGTTAATAATAAAATTGAATTCGGTTTCTCAAACCGTCTCGACAAAAACTCATTATCAGTTCGATGAGAATAAAATAGTCAGTCTGTTTATCTATTTTATAGAAAATTCTATTATGTTATTCTTACTTTCAAACTAAGAAGAATTTTTTTATAATATTTCTAATAATAAAGAAAAAGACCTAAAGAGTAAAACTTTTTTAGAAATCATAATGATTGTAAAACGTAACCTTGAATCCTTCATTTAATTTATCACCTTACACATTATTTGTTAATCTAATTTCATTGTTTAATATCAAACGTGTAATTTTTATTGTTTTCAGATTTATGTCAGTGATATGGGTGATTATGGTTCACACATATTTAACCGTGTGGTACATCGCCGACAACAAGACAATGAGGATCGTCACCGAGAGGAACTTCTTATACCAATCCGTAGGCAACGCATCCTATTGTGTTGATACATTCTTCTTTATTAGGTAAGATTCACATATAAAAAGTTACAATGAACGAAAACATAAGCTTATATAAAACGGCTTAAACACTCACGTATGTTTGTCCGGTGGCGGCACCAACTAGTTTCGAGCCCATCGGGGTGAGTGGGACTTTTGACTGGGGTATTTTTTCACGGACGCGGCCCGTCACTCACTGAGTAGTTTATTATAATGTCTTACGAAAGTTTGAATAATTGAATGAAAATAGTATGAAGAGATGTTTCTAATCAACCAATCTATACCTTGGTTTAACGTTGGTTGATTAAGGCCTCATTATTTAGGTTAAGCTAGACTCATCCCATGAAAGACGTGTTTATATTACTACATGTGAATCATTTTATAAACATTTTATTTCAGTGGCTTGCTTGTAACAGTTCTTTTCTTAAGAAGCGAAGACAAAGCAGCCGCAAGAAGAATTGCAATGGAAAAAAAGAAAGCAAACATCGATACTAACAAGAATACAAATGGTTTTACAAATTCAGCTCTCTCAGTTTCTGTGATAAGTCAACAATCTTTCTGTGAAGATTTGCTAGATCAGCCAAAGAATAGTGTATACTCGAAGGGAGAAATATTCAAAATGATTAAATCATTTTTCGTTCTAGTGATGTATCGTATAGTTAGGTTAACACCAGCGTACGCTTTTGTGATTGGTCTGAATGAAATAGCGTTAAGATATACTCATGACAGAACAGTCTTTGAGCCAGCTATCTTTGACCATATTACGTGCGATCGATTCTGGTGGCGGAATCTTCTCTACATCAACAACTTGTTCCCTCAAAGGGAGATGTGCATGGTGTGGTCGTGGTACATGGCTAATGACACACAGTTCTATGTTGTTGGAATCATATTATTATTGATATCAGTAAAGTAAGTAGCAAAATTTAATTTTTCTACAGTTTTCATTACATTACAGTTACACTTAACAGTGGTAGAGCCCACTTTAATATATTCATACGAATTGGCCCGGTTCGCCCGGTGAAATACCACGACCACACAGAAGACAGGCGTCCAGTGGAAGGAATTCCGCGTTTCGTCTGATGAGTGTGCGTCCTGGAGGCCTTAATTTTAGTCCTGTTTCTCTTCCCACCCTTTTTCTTATAAGGAAAGGATGGGAAATGGACTTTCCGGCTGAGGGGATGCATAGGAAGGGAAAATATTTTCTTTCTGTGCATCCTATCCTCCGTCGATTTAAGGTAGGCAACGTATATGCAATTGCGTATGTCTATGGGCAACGGTTTCTTCGCTATTTCAGCTATTTAAGGTGGCCGCTCGTTCCTTTGACCTTTTGATATAAAAAAAATAATTTTATGTACTTTTTGGAAGTTAAACTTACTGAAATTAATTGGTTTCCCAAATTTTGTTCAACAGACATATAAAATTTGCGATGATATCACTTATATTGTTGCTAGCGAGTTCTTGGGCGACGACAATCTACATATCAGTATGGTATCAATATAAAGCGCGTATTCAGGAACCCTTCGAAATGTTTGATCCATTGTACGATAAGCCGTGGTCCAGAATAGGCCCCTATTTAATCGGTAAGTTCTGCTCTCATTGACTATAAAATAACCACATGAAGCGATCACATTCTCTTTTATTGCCTCAATCGATCCCTTTTATAAAGTTGTGAAAGACCATTTTATTAGAATTGGCTTCAGTTTTTACATTGTTATGAATTACTTACAGACTTTGATTATATACTTTTTCATATTATTGGCCTATTTATACACCAGCCTGCAATATTAGTAAAAGGTATGCTGTAAAAAATAAATTAACAAAAACATTAAAAACCACTTAAGAATTCACTAATTTTGTTGAAAAGTCAATTAGTAAAAAATAATACTTAATTTTCTTCTTATCGCATTTTCAATTTTTTTTACACAGGAATGGTTGTTGGATGGTATTTGCACAGAACTAAATGCCAAGTTAAGATGCCATATTGGCTAGTAGCGGTGGGTTGGCCGTGCGCCTTAGCCATTATGGCGAGCCTTATCTTTGGCATGGTCGACGGCTACTTTGAAGTTTGGCCGACCGCTTTCTACGTCAGCATTGGACATACAGGTAAAGAACTCACGTACTGAAATCTTAACCGGATTAAATTATTAAGATACATCCATTCAGATATATTTTTGAATTGAGAAGTCCTTGCGTGCGTCTTCGGAATACTCTTAAAGATTTAATTGAGACAGCGTTATTTACTATGTTGAAGGCACTCAAGTCATTATTAGGTGGAAACATTAACGCAGTAAATTGCCCCATTCCTTTATGTGTTTTAATCTTCTTTATCATGTTCAAGGTTGGGGTGTGGCGCTGGCATGGGTTGCGGTAGCGTGCTGCTGCGGGTACGGCGGGCTGGTGAACTCCGCGTTGTCGTACCGTGGAGCGCTGCCACTCAGCCGACTTACCTATTGCGCCTACCTTGTACACCCCACCATCATGATGTACACCTCGTTCCTCATGGACGGACCTCTACATCTACAGAACTCTATAGTTGTAAGTAACAAGTAGAAAGAACCTTAGTTGATTATAGGAGTTTAAATATCAGTTGTAAATTGACGGGAGGACTACTTGTACCACATGACCAAGTTTTTTAAACTATTGCCTTAAATGAACCTCATTTTCCTCCTCTCAAGAACGACTGAATAGAATTCGCTGAAATTTGGTACAAATGTAGAACATAGTCTGGAAGAAGGCATAGGCTACTAATTAAGTTTTTTTTATTACCGTTCGGACGAAGGCTGGCGACGGTCCCTAATAATTATATGTCTTATGTCACCTCTTCCACCACTTCTAAGTGATTATTAACAATATCTTTATGATTTCCAGTTAACAATCTACGCTGGATATGCTGTGATGGCGTTTCTAGCATCATTCGCCATATCACTAGCATTCGAAGCTCCAGCTGTGCGGCTCTTGAAGATTGTGAGCGGCGGCAATAAAAGTAAAAAGGGACAATAATAGCACTCGGAATAGACCTTGTTTTATCAAGAGTACGCCCATGTTTTCACGCGAACAAGACGTTGAAAGCATTTCTCGAACAACCTCGGTCTAAGAGCTTTATTAAAAAAAAATAGCCGTTTTATTATAGATGTACATATATAGGTTTACTCATATTGACGATAGGTTTTACATCCAGTTATTTTCATAAATATTAAAAGGAGGAATCTTACCAAATCTCTATGGTCGAGTTACCGCGTAAACAAAATCCCAATAAGCAATTTAGGTATTTTATGAAGTTTCTTTTTAGAAACTTTCCGAGTCGATTGCGACCTTGAAAATTTAACAGCAATCTTTTACCACAAGCTTTAAATTACTTAGTTTACAGTTTAATATGAAAAAACGTGCCCGCTTTTCGCAACTAATATTTTGTAAATATCAAGAACTTAGGGTAAATCCCAGTCCATCAATTTTCATAATTTATGGCCATACTGTAATTTTAAGTACATTTTATTTAACTTTGTTTATATTATATTGTAAAAGTGTTTACTTTTATTTACATAAGTATTTGAAATGTAAATGCTTTACAACATATATGTTTCATATTTTTATATAGCTATATATTTGTAAATATTCATGTAAATAAGAACATATTACTAACATAATTAAAATTGACCCTTTTATAGAAACAAAAGAGGTTAAATAATTAGGTAACCTTCATATAGTCATTTTAAATTTTTATAGAATCCCATAGAACACATACAAAAGACAATTTCTTAAAGCCATATGTGATATAAAATCAATGATAAAATATATATAAGATAAAATAAATTGTATATTATTTGACTATTTTTTTGTATAGAATTTTATTATAAAGACCAAATATTGAGATATAAAGATGTTTTATTTACCTATAATACCTCAGATAGTTTTAATAAAATTAATAAGAATAAAATCTTAAAATGATTCTTCCTCCATCTTTTAAAACAAACACAACTCAGACCTGTAACCTAGAGGGGTAGGCAGAGACCACAGACTTATGTTTGGCGTGGCCAAACGAATCTCCTCAATCCAAATTTTCGCCATTTCGGGAGACAGAACGTGACAGGGAATATACACATATCTTTTTTTTATTTTTTTGCTGATATGTCCAGATTGAATCACAATGTTTTCCTTCATCGTAAGAAACTTGAGATAAATGTACATATGTCTATCGAAAATCAAAAATCATATTGGTACATGGCGGGATTCGAACCAAGGATGCAGATTACAAGTGCTTAACCTCTGAACACCGATGCTCATTCATCCATCCTTTTTTGATAAAAAATATTACGATTGAAAATAATATTCTTATTTTAAATTTAAATTTGTTACACGTTCAATGAAATTTCTTGTTCAAAGAAAATATCGCAGTGCCGTAGTCTGCTTAAATTATAAATTCTGTCCGGAAGGTGCCGGAGCGAAGTGCGGAAATCCAATAAGATTTCAGTTTCACTGGATTCTTACAGCAATGTAAAAAAACTGAATCGCTTTAATATTTTTTTCAATTTCAATTTTTCTTGCTCCAAAGAGAACTATGAGTTTTTTCTTACTTGAAAAATGTGGCTTCATTTTTTAAAGAAAGTTCCGAAAGTATAAAATACCAAAAAATATGTCATCTTACTAATAATATAAATAAATGCTTAGATGGTTGGATGGATGGATGTTTGTTTGAAGGTATCTCCAAAACGGATGTCGCTAAAATTTGGCATATATGTAGAACATAGTCTGGAAAACACATAGGCTGTTTGTTACGCTTTTTTTTTAATTCCGCGCCGATGGAGTCGCGGGCGATAACTAGTCGTACTATAAAATATAGTTAGTTGCTCATTTGTTTTTTTAATTCGTATTCAAATATTACTTATTCAAATAATATCTCGAACGGAAACAATCTTGCTGAAAGGAAGTTCATGACTCGTAAAACAAGTCACGTATTTGACACATCAATAAAATGTCTCGCTTCATATTTTTATTTCCTTATTTTACCTATATCAAACGTAGGAAATACGTACTGCTGATAAAGTAATATTGGAACAATATATCAAAGAATGGATTACATGTTTATAAGCGTTTCCGTAACATCCAGTCATCCGCCTATTCATTTCCATTTTTCTCGATGTCTCAATCCACAACCGTGCGGTTTGCGCGTAACTTCCTGCCTCGCACAGCAACGTTGTATTGTTACGGTCTGTCCTCGGCGGTATTCCCAAACCGCTACGACTTAGGTTCCTTCAAGAAGCGAGCGTATCACCATATCAAAAGCCGGCAAAGCATCTGTTGTTTCTGTGGTATTGCTTATGTCCGTGGGCGTCCTTTAACACCTCGGCGTTCCCGCTGTTCGTTTGTCTCGAAAATAATCTTTCATATATTTAACAGAGGCGTTAACATATGTAGAAAAATATAATTGTTATTGTTGTAAAATGGTACATCAAAACAAAAGTTCAAATGTGTGAAGTCAACCAACGAGTTGTTGACTATGGCCTTGTCACCCCTGAATTAGGATGGGCTGCGAGCCCCTCAGTGGCAAAGTAGTGAAAGAAGAAGGAAGTTAGCTGATGATGATAAAATGCTACATATATCTATTGGGCAATGCTAAGCATATTATAAGAGCGAAGGCTACAAATCATGCTCAGTGTTGCCAGATTAAGAGAAGCCCTCTTTACAATATTACAAAAATTACCTTAATTTTTTAAATATTGAAAGAGATAACAATACTTTATATATTTGTTTTCTCACGATTTATTAAATTATAATTTTATGTACTTTATTTTCATTGCTTAAATTTAAAGTACTTTTGTTTCAGCGGCTTGTTTGCGGTAAAATGATGCTTTGACGTTGAAAAGGGTTGCCAGTGTACACGATACTAATGGCTTTTACTGCTATCACAACATGATAAATTGTTACAGATTAAACAGTAAAGTTTTTTACCCTAAGCTATACAAGGCACGTGCCTCTGTTTCTAACATTGTCTCTTCTTAAATAGCTTTTAAGAGCTTAAGACGCTAACCTAATAAATATAACCTAAAAATTTACTTTGAACGCGCCTTTAAAAAAATGTCAGGCAATCTCACGTTCAAGCGGATTTATATCTTTGTTTTCTTTTGCCAGCATTATTAACAAAGTAGTACAAAGCGAAGCATAAACGCAAGTGAATTTAAAAATACGTACGCGCAAAGCTTTTATGTTTACATACAAGTATTTAAAAATGTAGTGTAATACAGCCACAATAGAATGATGTTATAATGTTCATGTTGCTACGCCCTTATGAATATACAACTTGGATATAACAAAGCATTGTATTTCTAAAATAAGCCATTTCCTTAACGTAAGCCAGTCTTTGTGATAGAAAATAACTAAAATCGGTTAAAACAATAAATAATAAAACGATTAAAGCTTTGATAATCATATTGTATGGGAATATTAAAGAGTTTACATGTAACAAGATTTATGTCAATCTAGATTCTAGATCTTAAATCCAGATTCAAATCTTACATTTTATGACGATATTAGCTATCACTCGCGAGTTTATCCGCTCGGAATTATAAAATTAATTTAGTTAGTTAACAATAATATAAAATAAATTAACTTAATAAGCCTATGTGTTCTTCCAGACTCTGTTCTACGTCTATGCCAAATTTCATGAGATACCTTGAAACAAACATCCATCCATCCATCCAAACATTCGCACTTATAATATTAGTAAGGAGTAAGATTTAATACGACTGAATAAAAGTGTAGTCGTTCAGTAATTCAGTTTAATCATAAATGGTACTTTTTGAATGGTCGTTGAATCGTAATTTACGCTCAATTGAAAATTAGTTATGGCGCCAGACATCGGCAATTTATAGTCCTTTATAAATAAGCATTCGAATAGAGCGATTGAACTATTAAGTGCATTATACTTATTGTATATAGCTATAGTTAAAATAAAATTTAAATGGCCTTTGTGTTCTTACAGACTATGTTCCACATCTATGCCAAATTTCAAAGAGATCAATGCAGCCTTTTTAATGATACCAAAGAAACATCCATCCATCCAATCATTTATATTAATAAAAGTAAGAAGTAAGGTTAGTAAGATTTATGTGCAGTTTATTTTATACCATACTAGCTGTCGCCCGCGACTCCATCCGCGTGGATATATAAAAAAAAATATACAAATAAGTTAAATAAAAAGCAGCTCTTCAAGGCATAAATTCGAAAAAAAAGAATAAATAGTATCCTATGTCCGTCTCCTGGCTCTAAGCTACTTCCTCACCAATTTTTAACCATATCGGAAAAGCCGTTCTTGAGTTATAAATAGTGTAACTAACACGACTTAACCAGACTTTTGAATATAGTTGAATTTCAAGGTACAATAAAAAAAATTATAATAATTCAATAATGAATATAAAAATTAAAATTAAGCTTTTGATATTCGTTATACGTCACTTATACAGAAATAAAGTTTTGTAAAGAAAGAAGTTAACCATTATTATGTCTTGCTGAATATTTGTTTGTAAATTTGTGGATTTTCATCAAAAACAAATAACCGAGCTTTCTTATAAGCAGATTAAATTTTCCTGAGAGTCGAAATTGAATTCATCGCGTCAGTTCGCGCCAATTTCACGGTTATTTTCTTCGCGTGCCGTCTTCGTCCACGGCGCGGCGGTCTCCCGGGCACAACAAATATAATTCCGATACATTTGTATTGAATAGGATAGACTAATATTTTTTATTGATTTATCTATCGACAAGACTTGTTTTTTATATAATATTATAAGTTGGCAAATGATCAAGCGGCTACCCGAATTTACCGAAATTGCGAAGAGACCGCTGCCCATAGCCATCCGCAGATGCGTTGACTACCTTTAATCGTTATATATTGTTTGAAGTTATGTAAAATTTTCATATTTTACAATAATTAAATTTCTTGTTGCATTATTGACTTTTACATTATTTGCTGTCTCAAAAGTTTATTTATTTTAAACTACATATTTACATCATTTTAAACTTATCTGCGATCTCTCTGGTGTACGTAAGTCATCTCAATTTAATTAAATATGGATAGAATAGGATAAATATGTACGTTATTCTTTTACCTCAAAAACTTTTTAATGTTTGTGAAAATGGTTAAGGTTATTTCAGGTAACAAATAGGGCACATCACATTAGGACGCCATTAGGGTGCATAGGTCGTTGATATTTTATGTGGGGCTTGTCAAATCACCCTGCCCTTATCACGTAAGCGCCGCGCGTCCGCCGTTTTATGACCACTGATGCTCGTTCAACAATATTATATTATTTAATTTTATCATGAACTAGATGTCGTTTGCAACTCCTTCCGTGCGGAATTATAAAAAATTGCATATGTGTTCTTCCAGAGTATGTTCTATATCTATGCCAAATTTTCGTGAGATCCATGCAGCCGTTCTGTAG